CGGGATATTTGCTTAGATGCGATTCGACCGACGCGTGTGCCTGCTTCAGCCCCCGCAAATATGTGCCGACATTGAGATGAAGAAGACTGCAACAGGGAGTCGAGACGGGAGCGCGACTGTAGTGCTTGCGTCATCTTCCCATTCAAGTTCTCGAGAGAATGAGGAGTCAACCAGCAGTATAAGCTTTGTATGTCTCGTTCGGTTGAGTTTGCTCGACCTGCATACACGGCATGGAAGCCTTCCCCCATTTCTCCAAAAGAATACCATGACCGCAGTCCTGGGACTAGGTAGATTTCGTCCTTCAGCTTTGTAGCCTTCTGCCACAGTCCGATGTTTACAGTTTCAAACCTTCCTCTCACCTCTGAAAGGAGGCATAAAGGCCAGGCGAGAGGCTTCGAAGCTTAGCCCCCTCCCCCTCGCTTTATCCTTCTGCCGCAGTGCCGTCGTCCCGAGCGGAAGGATAGACTATCGCGGCGCCATGTCACCTCCCTATTTCTGCTTTTTGTTTTCCCTCCTTCTTCTTTGTGTAACTTGATACACACCAAAAGGCAGAAGAAAAGAAAAGGTTTCTGCTGGGACTCGTGCAACCCAAAGCCCAGGTGCTTAGGGCTTTTGAGGCGGCGAGACACAAAAGCAACAAACAACGTGGTGTCCCGGTCGACGGATGATGTTCACAAGGATCTGCGCAGGCCCTGGTTGGGGCAAGGCCCACCTAGGGACATGCGACTCAAACCCCTTTTTTTGACTACATCGTATGCGACTTTGTGCGCCTTCATTCCACAAACGTAGATGACCAAGAAGGCTCACGTTGCGACCTAGTCGTCATGTAGCCCTGAAAGCTTACCTTTCTTATCGCTCCTTGTCTTTCTTCGCCTAAAAATTCACTCTCGCTCCAGATGAGACGGCGTTTAGGAACCGTCGTCTAGCCCTGTTGGAGATGAATGTTCCGGGACTCTCTAGGCCACGAGGCAACCGTCGTGCCGGAACCCGCCCTGAATCGATGGAGGGTCTCTGGTCTTGCACGCAACAGCAAGTTTTGCTCGTGGGGACGCATCACTAAGCCGGATTTTAAAACACCGATAGAGCGCCAATTGCATTACATAGTCGAAGCCCCGGCTAGGAAATCTTGACCGCAGACTGGAACAGGCTCGAGATGACCTATCTGGTTCGACTCATTGACAGTAATTCTCCAAATGACTGGGCTTGATTACCGGTAGGAGTTCAATCACGAGTGATCTCCGCGAAAGGAATTACCAGACGCCGGTATGATATAGTCTTCCTGTTGTAGCCTCATTGACCATTGCGCCATCTACTGCGGCAGCACGTTCTCCAATTACTAGAAACCATATCCTTTGTGCCGGCAAGTATTGATAAAGAGTGATGCCTTGATACTGCACTGGAGAAGCGTTACCGTATGCAACCGAAAGCGTGACGGAGCATATTTGACACAAGCCCAACCTTGCAAAGCAAGACAATTCCCTTCAGCGCGAGCGATGCCTCAGCGGCGCCAAGACGGGACTCGGGAGCGAAAACAAGGACAGGCTCAAGAGGCATAGGCCGAAGAGACCGAGTTAATGAGCGTCCACTGGTAAACGCCCGCTAGCGATGGCGGGGTCTGGGTTCGATGCGGTCCTGCGATACATCAGACCACCGGCTGGACGATGCGCCTCTAGCGCACAACGACACGTCGTTGCCGGCTTGAAATGACTTCTTTTGTTGCGGCTAGCAACAACTGTCGGGCCCGTTGATGAGCTGCTAAGGCACCGATCCGTCGCTTTCCTCTTTGGAATCCGCCAAGGATGATGTGCTGCTGGCCTGGTTGAGAAAGGCCTTCTGGCCATGTGGGACGGCGCTACCACCGTCGGCGGGAGTTGTCGTAAATTGCAACAACGGCGTCGGGAGCCAGGGCGATGTCAGGATGAAAAGATGCCGGCTCATCTGTGTTCCCTACTTGGTAGACTAGACAACGGCTCGCAATCGATGAAGTAGCGACCCAGATCTTGAACCACTCAGCCGCGCCCTTATCGCTGGTCATCGGGGTTTTGCGCCCCATCATGTCATTTGAGAGCCGCTTGCCTGACAAGGAGAAAGCCCTTCACTTGAAGGTTGGAAGCCCTGCCAGGGGATTCAGCGGTGGCAAAGAACAAAGCCTGTCGTAAAGCCGTCCTGCGGCATAGTTTGAATGGCTTGAGAGGCGCTACGAGGAGACCAACCACTGCACGGCCAACATTTGCCGACAGGACGGACTTCGGGTTGGGACGAATGACTAGTGTTGCAAGCATTTGTCTGGTCCAGATGGATATGTTCGTGATGCTCATATCCTATCTTGGCCATTACTTGTCAGTGCTTGAGTGTCAACGAGGGCCTCGCCACTCAGGGGTCAACACAATCTGGATGAAGCCTGCGTCGTGAAAAGGGATAATCCATTGTGCAGACATACGTAATCATGGCCTGCCACCTGAACGCTGCCTCGCAAGGCATGATGTGTAAAGGGGGAAGCAAGGGTAAGCGCAAATGTTTGGCATCATCCGATGTTATTTCTGAGTTCCAGCCAAGAGAATCCAGTTCTTTGCAACAGTACGCGCGGTATGTGTGATGAAAGGCGATTCGAGCCCTCCAAGCGCAGGCATCATCGATGCGGTCATGACTTGTGATTCGGGGGACGATGGACCTCTCTCGAGAACCGTGATTTACACTGGTTTGCAGGGTAATCGTGGGATGCTGTGAGAATTGCGGCGGTAAACACTGCGCGACGGGTAGTACCCTGCTAGGTACGCATGGATGGATGTCACATCATCGACGTTCAGGACCAGAACGGCAAGCACAAGCCCCTTTCATACCTCAAAGTCCTCGTTGAGGCTTATTAGTATTGGTGCGTGGAATACGGTGCGGGATCGGCAGTGTTCCTTCATCGGCGCACAGAAATGTATCAGAGCTGATAGCACCACCAGGTCGTGATATCTGAGCGTGGGAGAGGCCGAATGACCGACCCAGGGGCTCTGTGGTGCGCAACATGCTCTACGCTTTGGCATCTTGGAGAAATCAAATGGACTAAACATAGTACGGTTCGGTGTCTGCATGCCGTGACGGCACGGTGGGAGCTATTGCGATTGAGTAGCAAGCTCAAGACTTACTCGCCAATGCATGTATGTAGATGGCAACCTAGCCGCAGTAAGAGCCCATCATGTGCCGAACTCCAAGGTGCAATTGCTCAATCTGATTGGACGAGATCCAGCTGCGGTCAACATCGAGTCGCAGTTTGTTGTATTTTATTGTGGAATTTTGATTGCCCTTCGGAAGCTAGACGCCGACTATGCTTCAGCCCCATGGGAGGATAAGCAGGCAGTGGGCCGAAAAGAATTGCTCAGCTGCCCCCCCCCCCCAGGGCACGATGAAACCGATTTTCCTGGTGGTACTCTGACATACATCGTATTTGAGTTGCTTCTCGAGAATTTCGGTGGAGATTCGACTTTCTTCGGTGATCATCGTCGCCCACAGCCCTCGCCTTTCGCGTTCGAGGGCTGGCATGTGGAGGTTCTACGGTCGATCATTGACAAGCAAACAACAGGTCGATCGACAGGGCCAAACATCCCTGGACATGCGTGCGGTAACCGTGCCACCGGTGGACTGGCACGAGTCAGGTTTCTTTACTGCCGATGCAAAAAGACCTGCACAGAAGAGCTAGTCGAAATCATGAGGCTGCGAGGGCTTGCAAAGAAACAATCGTGAGGCAGGCGGAGGGTGGCATTCGCGTCGGACCACGGGAGACGCCTCCGTTATTGTTCCTGTCGACTCGAGCCTTCCAACGAGACATTCGATGCTGTTTTCGTGAGACGGAAGAGGCCCTAGAATGTTTCTGGGGACGCCTCTTACAGGCTGGGCGATAGCCAAATAGACTCACCCATTGCGGAGGATCATCAAGCTAGTCAGGTTCCGTCAGGTTCCTAGTTATTGGGTGGTGTTTCCTGGTGTGATCGACGCACGCGTCGTATGGTAGCTAAAGCGTCTGATGGCACTGTTCGTGATTCGGACGATTTGGCACCACAGTTGAGGAGAACGGCGTGCGGCTGCAAGGGAGGAAGACTGGTTTGTGGAGGTGCGGTGCTCAAGTGCCCGCTCGCCCAGACCTAGCCGGATAGCGGAAAGGAATCGCCGCTTCATGGAATTTGCGCGATGATACATCATACAACCGGGGCTGCCTTCTGGATAACTCGGACCGACCCAAATGGGTTAGGCCAGTGTTGAGTGCCGTCTTACCTGAGCGACGACCATCGATGGTTTCCTGGGGTGGACAAACATCTTTGTGAATGAAAGCTCCGTCTGCTTCCGTGGTTGCAGAAGGTCGGGCTGATTGTCGTAGGCAAGCTGAGGCAACGGATCCAGCGCGTGAGGATGATCTTCATCTTCGTGAGCTATTGTCAGAAGGATTGGTGGCCCACGGCAGCTGCGCAGCCGGGGGGGGGGGGGGGGGGGGGGACATCGACTTTCCCATGGTCGTGGGGTTTTTTCTTCTCTTTCTTCGCCTCCTCACTCTCGTACCTCCACTTGGATGCTCCGCTGCCGGCCGTGTTTCGCGGATTCTGGCGCGTCCGACACATTTCGTCCCTTCCCGTATACCCACGGGCGCTGATAGGCACGGAGTAAGCAGCGGAGCAATCTTGATAGGCGCATCGATATTTCTGTTGCAGCCTGGAGCATGGGGTCGCCGTAGGGCAGACCTCCAGTCGGCTCTAGCGGGTATGAGAGACATTCCCATCTTCTCTCGTCGTCCCGTTTTGCTCACCGCTAGCCTCCTTCCCCCTCCATTCTCCTCCCGGAACAGATAAACACAGCGTGCATGCGGGAGCAGTTCTGAATGCCTGCATGTTGCGCACGCGTTTTTCGCTTGGACGGAATTCGAGTACCGCTTTCCGCGCCCGTTACTCCCCTGCTGCGGATGTGTGATGCTTGACCAACTGGCGACGAGCGAATTCAGCCGCTTTTCCAGTACAGATATCAGGTTACACTCTGCTCATGCGCTCGTTACATAAGGCCATGCAGCTCGCGCCGAGTTTGATCACAGTGCTAGTGTCGACAGCTTTGACACTGCGTGATCCAGCGGGCTCCACTCTGTTCAGGGGAGTAAAGGCACCCCTGTGTGTTGGGGGCTTAAAATTGGCCACACTCTGCTTGTAACCCTCCTGGCCGCCCAATAACCCAGCAAGAGAGCCTAACACCGTACCATAGGATGCAGGGTACTGCCGGGTGATGCCTGTTCCTCGTTGATGACTATAGCAGAACTGACCGCTTGGTGGCCTCATGACCTCATCCCTCAGGGGTGCCATATGCCATTGTCGCATAACATCCCTAATGGCCTGGCCTCGCAGGATTCCCAGCGACATGTGAGACGTATCGGCTAGAGCAGCTCGTCAACGGGGGATCACTGTCGACGGCCTGATGGCTCGATAAAGGCGTCTTTCCGGGCTGGTTCCTGAAGCTTGGCAATGATTCCATCATGTTGACGGCGCCTGAGGCGCTGTCCTCTTTGCCTCAGCTGCACAAACCTCAGGGCGTTGGGAATAGTCAGGAACATGTGTCTCAGACAAGCCTTGGACGCTGCTTCCTAGCTTTCCCGAAGAGAGAGTTGGCACGCACCAACTGCTCATTGTGGGCGACTCATAGGATGATTGCAGTATGCGCGCACGGGATATCGTCTATTGAGAGCAGCAGCAGCATGCAGACCGCAATACACTTGGCGTGGTGCACGCCCTTCAACCCGCATGGAGCTGGGGTACTGCCTAGGTATGTAGTCATTGGACTGGCCAGTGCACCATCTTTTTGCCTGACGTGATGAGAGGGATTGAACGACAAAGTGCTGGCCGGAAGCATTCGGTAAACGTTGGTGACGGCAGGCGCCGAGGGTTTCTGTTGGTGTTCGTTCACCGCATGCGAAATGCTCAATGTTGAGTGATACTCCGACTGCCCCATATCCGATCAAGTGGTGGTTCTGGAGCCCGAAGAGAGCAGGCTAGAATCGGTATAGAGGCGGTGTGAGCGCCCCACCTGCCCTGTGTAGACGATCCTGCATGCTGCAAGATTGGTTCCAGCCTCATGAAAAACTCAAAATCCCACCTCCAGTTTGGGCATCAAATGACAGAACAGAAGCCTCCCCCTCTCCCTTCGAAATGCAGAGAACAGCCGAAAGTGACCCCGGCTTCCCTCCAGTGGATCCAGCTGAGAAATAGAAATCCCTGCTGCCGAGGTGCCCTTCCGATATTGGCTGGGAAGTCCTGCGGCGAGGGATTGGATAGGGAGAGGGGCACAAGCCTGCCTCCGGGGGGGGAAGCCGTGCGAGAGAACGGTACGACGGGAGCGAGGGAGAAAAGCAGCCGAGAGAAGTTGAGAAGCTGACGGATGGGGGGCTTCCCGTGAATAACATTGACTGAAGAGTTCGCCAGAAAAACTTTGGTGCCATGTAGTGGGATGCAAAGTAAGAGGCGAGGTACCACGTGATATCACGTTGCGGCTGCGAACTTAGTACAGACATAACCTTGCCTAGCTGCCCTGGAGACTGCTACGGTGCTGCGATCTCTCCTCTGACCTCCCTATACCATGGTTCCGTTTCGTTGACAACGGTACTAGATGCCATAATGGACTTGGTGTTCGCGAGACTTTGTTAGCGAGAGGAGGGGCAGCCCCATGCATGGTTTTTGACACGAGGCCGACAGGGCCGATAGACGACGAGCTGCTGGTTCACAAGCCAGGCTTGCCCAGCTGTTATGGTATGGCACGGCGGCGGTACGTATGGTTCGTGGGTGCTCATACGATGGTTACACAGGGTTGAGCCACCGTCCTAGGGCGTGGATTGGGCCGAAGACCGCCGCTTTGGACGGCATGGTCTGCACATCAGTGGATACTTCCACGTGAGGTAGTATCGGCCAGACTGCAGATATCGGGCGCACAAAGTTTTGAGCCTGCACGTGGAATGCGTCGCTGAGGTAGTATCTGAGCTCGAAAAGGGACGTGCGAATAACATCCTAGGTCATGCGAAGAGGGGTAAGCAGGCCCCGAAATCCCAGCCGCCATCGATGCATAGTGTCTCCGTCGCGCGACCGCCGACCGGGTCTAGTCTGGTCTAATGTTGGACGGTCGTCCGCTGGATCATCGCAAGAATAATGGCAACGTAGGTAGATGGCAGCCATGGCAGCGCTACGACAAGGCGCAGGGGGTGGCCGACTGGCAGGCGCGCAGGCCAGGTTGACGACGGAACGAGTGTGACAGAAGGGCGGCAAAGAGGCGACCAACCAAACACGATTGGCATGGATGGCAACGGTAAGAAAGGAGCAGAATTTGACAGGCAAATGGGCTGGGGCGCTGAGTTGCTGCAGGCTTCAGGCAATTGGAATCACCGCATGGATATTGGTAATGCGGTCAGAAACTTTGGGTCTGATGACCTTGTCCAGCTGGTCGTCCCGAGGTATCCGCGCAATCTCGTTCCGTCTTTTTCTTGTCCCTCTGGGATCCGCGGCCTAATGCAGCCTTATCCTGTCAGAATGTCAAGGTTATTGTCCACCGTTCGCACGTCGCTGCATCGCGTATACTTGGAGAGAAGACGGAACCTTGATTTGCCAACGCTGGGCTTCCCATCCAATGACGGCAAAAGGATGCCGGATTCGGAGCGATAAATCAATCGATGGAGGGGTGAACGATGCACGAAAATCGAATCTGGTGTGGAATGCGAAGGAGATGAAATCATTGCCATCTCCGGCGCTTGTCGAGCATGTCGATTGGCTGACAGCACACATTGCGTCTGCCGATGGCGGCGTTGTCGGTCACAAACCCCGAATGATCATGGCATGCAACAATCTGGATGCGACATTGACAGCTGCAAAATGATGACGGTGACAACTGCAGGTACCAATGATAGCGCGCGTGCGGAGAGGACGAAGAGTGGTGGGCAGCCGTTGGTCGCTGTGCTTGTGGCGGCTGGAATCGACATAGATGCGAACAGGGGCGGCGTAAACTCGAGCAGACTGGGTTTGAAGTGTGGGCGCAGAATCTTGTTCCTGGTGCCTACAGGGTTTTACGTATTTCAATCAATTTTTCTGTCTTGGCTCCTGTAGCTGCCGGGTCTCTTCCTTCAGGCTAACGGGCGATAGTGACTGGGTATCCGGAGGGCTGGGTCGGGCGGCTTGTCGTTGGAACAAACATGTACGATGCCGCCGCTAACACATTGTTAGTCGTCCCAAAGATGGATTGACGTCGAGCGTAGCTCGTGTCCTCTGCCGGGACGTTTGTGTGTGTGTGTGTGTGTGAGTGTGTGTGTGTACCGTATCCGCAAGGTAGGTACGAGGTCAAGGCCGTGGAGGAAACGGCTGTTGGTTTGGTCTGGTTTGGTCTGGTTCCGTTCCTTCGCGCAAGTAACCAACTACCTTGGAGGGTGACAGACACTGTGCCCCTCCGGGGCATTAACGCTTGCTTAGTCGATTCCCAGCGGTTTGGGTCGCTTGAGATCTGTCGACGCCCTAACCTTCGCGACAGATCACTCTAGCAGCGGGCTGCGTTTCTTGGTGAACCCCCTAACCAGGGTCTCGGGACTTGCCTAGTTCTTTCGAGAATAGCCGTAGATTGGGGGACCAGAGCCATGTTGGAATACGCAGTAGCCCCAAAGCACGTTGGAGGCGGTTCCTGGCGCGCAGATTGGCGTTGGCACTTGCGAAGGCGCCGCGACCACATTGGCACGACGAGGCTGTCGAGGCATGTCAGAGCAGGGTACCATATGTAGCGTGTGGGCAACGGTAAACGCCTCTTGGGGAGGTGGCGACGCGACGAGGGGGGCGTTTGTGCTGTGATGTGCTTGTGACGCGTTCAATTACGTGCAGAAGGGGGAGATTGGAGTCGCATCGGACACCGACCGACCCGGTCGTGGAGTGAGCGGTGAGAGGCCCATAAGCATGCTGACGGACAAGAGAAATTCCAAGGCCGTCTGTGTGTACACAGACAGCGGCCCAGACGAGGTGACTTGCAAGGCGCCGCCGGCAGGGCACGGTGGGTGACAGTGTTGGATTTGCAAGCAGGGAGAGAGAGAGAGACCAGCAAAGGGTTGTGTGAAATTGTCGCTGCGGAATTGCTCCGAGGTTGAGTTCGAGGCCCAAAGGCTTCTAGGTATGGGGGCAAACGCCTCCCCCCATCGCCCGTGACACACGCAATTACCACATTGTCCATGCCATGATCTTTCGTCCGTGATTGTTTTTCTTTGCCATCGTGGCCAGCTGAAGATTCCATCTTTGGGGACCACCCCCGCTCGTCTGGCTGTGGGAAGGTGCCGTATCGGGCAGTAGGAAAGTGCAGGTACTTCCAAAGTTTGGTGGTAAGGCAGGGCGGTGTGTGGGTCAGCAGACCAATCGGGGGACTCTAAGCCAGGTGAGGCACTTTCGGTACTGGTGGGATATGCCTCACCGAGCATGCGCAGCCAGTCGCCCGTCCGAGCGGCCCCTTCCGGCCGAGGCCGTGCCACTGTCTGCCGTCTGCTTTTTGCTCGTACCTTCCTTCACCTTCACCGTCACCGTTACCGTCACCGTCGCCGCTGCCGGTCAATAGGCGTGGCTCCTGCACATGGTCGCCTCTCCGACCTCGTCCTGCTCACGGTCTCAATTCACAACAGACATGACCAAGTTGACTAGCTATTTCGGCGGCCCCCCCTGCCTGCTCACAGTTCACTAGACATCACACCTCCGACCTTCAACTCCGCATGCACATGCGGGATTCAATCTCAATCTCCTCTGTGCCCACATCGCAGTGCAAATTAACCTGGGGGGGGGGGGGGGGGGTCGGACACTCATCATCATCGCCGCCTTCGGGCAGGGTTACAGGCCATCATGGGCTAAGCGAGGCAAGGACGGGAAGAAAAGAAGAACATGTCCTACCTCCCCTCCCGGCCCTAGGCACCGTGCAGCTTCCAGGGGGTACCCAGCGCCCCAACCATCTGGGAAATTTTTACAGTCTGAGGCATACTATAGAGCGGAGGGGGGCTTGATATGCGGCGACCAAGGCGGGGCAACAAGAAATGGCGTGGGAGAGCAAGGACGAGAGGGGAAATACATATGAATGCAGGGCAAGCTGGGCGTTGGCGAGTGGAGCAGCGTTGCAGCTTCCAAGGAACCCAATGAATGTTGCCTAGAGAGCGGGCTGCACTGGGCTGTCCCTTCCCTGAGCATCCCCCCTGTCCCCTGTCTCTATCTTCCTTGCGAAGCCCCTCATCCTTTCGCCCCTGGTCGCCATTTACACTAATCCTGGGCTCCCTCCGGTCCCCCGGCCTCGCGTTTGGCTCGGTATTCCTGGTAAATCCGCACCCGGCAGATCTCAGCTGTGACAGAGTCGACTTGGAGGGGTGGTCTGTCCG